CCCAATTGTGGGAGTCATCCCACCATTTTGCTGCTCTGCGTTCTCTCCCACAGCTGCATTAATCAACTGCTTTCTCTTCTGACCTGGTCAAAGTTGCCTTCCAGTTATTCCGCAACATGAATGAGACAGTGTGCAATATGGATATGCCGAGTGGTGATATAACTGCTTTCTAAACAAGGACTGTTCAAGTTCTTTGTTTGGGGGCTATTTTTACTCTTAACCAGGCTGTATGTAACTGTGGTTTCACACTGTTCCACCCAATTAGTAAATCTGATTAAAATTAATAATGCATCTCTTCTGCACCAACCTCTTAGAAATATCCTCGCTTTGGCCTTGCCTCGGGGGTAGTTGGAAGCAGTGTTCAGGACACTTTTTTTTCCCCTAAGAATTTTTATAAATATACAAAAAATGTATATTTTTTTTACATACTGATTTACTTGTGGAGTATATGAAAGACATTGTTTTGCCAAGAGACAGGGTCAGCACAAGGGACACAGACACAGAGTTGAAGAATTGAGCTTATCTCTACTTATGGTTAAAGCAATAACAGCAATAACAACAAAATAATATGGATAAAACAAAATAAGATAATAAAGTTCGAAGAAGTACAATAAAAGACAAAATAGTACAGTACAAAGAAAATAAGGTAAGTATTACTTACCTTATGTGGTTAACCATAGTGATTAAATAAGATACATCACCAGTTGCCCTAATTACCATCACCCAGATCCGCAGTTGCTGGGGAGTGCTAGTTGCAGTGAGGATCTGGAGAACCTGTCCCGGCAATTGGGAGGTCCTACAGAGTGCGTCCACTCGTAGGCGAGATCTCCAAAGTTACTGCAAGAGGGTCTAGCTTTTTATATTATTGAATAAACAAGCTTATATCACTTCAAATGTGGAAACATCTGTCTTCATTCTCCATTCGATTTCCCTCCCCGCCCCTCCAAACCTTGCCAGGGCTCAAGGGGGAACCAGGCGTTTCTTTGTTTGTTTGGCTTTGACCACGTCGTTCCAACCAAAGCTGGACATCTGGTCCTATGGCCTTGATAACCTGTCTCTGAACATGAGAAAGAAGGGTACAGTCTCAGGACACTTGATCTTCACTAGTGATTATACTTTAAGCTATTTGCTAATGAGCATACATACTTGACTGATGATCAGGTACTAATATATCATGTTCTGTTGGAGGGGTTCATCTAGAGGTCAGCTTTGGTTCAAGGCCTGCTGCTCAGGCCTCAGTACTTTACACATGAATCCCAAATGTGTTTAGTTAGTTAAGCTTTCTCTATTTATAACCCAAGACTGTGTGCCACATTTAAATTTTCCCTATGTTGTTCTTAAATATAACAAAATCTAAATACTAAATTATAGCAAGGTATGTGGCTGCCTTTTTCCAGGTTAACTTACTCAAAATCATAGTGAATCGAGTATGAAATAATAGCTTGTTCCATCTTACAAAGGTATTTTTTAACTGCAGTTTCCTCTATAAGCCTTTGGATTTTTTTCTTCTTTCAGAGCTCTGAAGACACGAGATCTTACAGCCGTACTATGAAAGGAGAGACAGAATTTCACGGGTAAGTTCTTGCTCTGGCATTAAGTGGAATTACTTAAAAATAAAACTATCACAGGCTTTTAAAAATATTGAATTTAAGAGTTTTGTTTGACCTGTTTAGCACATAAAATACAGTATTTTAATTGTTGGAGTGTTGGCGTTGCATTAATGAGTGGATTCAGTCTGAGCTGGGCAGTTTGAGATTGTTGAGAGGACAGGGTTCAGAATTTATTTTTTTTTCCTCTCATATATGCTACTACACTTCAAATAAGATAGGAATTACACTCTTCCAACACTACTGTCAAAAAGATGATTTTTTAAATCTTGAGCACTACCTTATTGGTCTATATTGCATATTACACTTTTTTTTTTTTTTTTTAGCAAAGAAAGACACTGTTGAAGTCTGGAGGATAGTTCTGTCATGAACTTGGTACCTTTAATAGATTTCTGTGCTCCTGAAGTAATTGATTTCTCCTGATGCTTGAAGTAATTGATTCAAAGGCAAAGAAAGCAATCTTTCAGCTTGAGTGTAGCAAATGTAAACAGTGTTTGAAAACTGCTTCACATAAAGTGAGAATGTTCCTGTGAATCCTGAGATGGAAAAGCTTTGGATTGTTTCTTAATCATGGCGAAATCTTTTTGCAGTTTCTCTGTTAGAGTGGAGTTGTAAGTTGTAGGATATTTAGCTGCCTGTGTACATGCTGTTAAGTACTGTTTGTTAGTACGGTTTGATGTAACCATAAAACAATAACTGGCAAAACTCTGCACAGTCCAGTACCGCGTCCCTGACAGTTGTTTTGCCAATCAATGGGATTAGCACAAAGGACACAGGCACCAAATTAAAAAAAAAAGTAAGCTTATGTTTCCTATTTAAAAAGTGATAAAATAATGAAGAAAATAATACAGTGAAAATTAATTAAAGCAAGATAAGGTAAAGCAGCAAAATAATAAGCAAACTACTATAGCAAGCCTAAATTAAGGTAATGCACCTAATCATTACTACATGGAGTTAGCGATAGTGATTAAGAAAGATACATCACCAATTGCCCTAATAATACATTACCATCCAGATCCGCAGACGCTGGGGAGCCAGTTTACCTTATGAATACATGCCAATTTATAAAAGCTTTTGTTGTAACGCTTATAGAGCATGGCTGTAACGCTTGCTGTAAGATAGTAGTTGTGTAACAGTAGCCTCACTTGCCAAAAAGAGCTATACCTATCTCAAACTTTCAAACAGACCTCTACGTGACAGAATGTAGCAGGGCAGTGACAGCTTTGTTTAGAGACACATAATCAAAGATAACCAGATACCTTTACTTCTTCTAAACTTTTCCTCAGGTTCTGGCCAAGCGTGGTAAAAAGTTAACAAGGAAAAAAAACTACACCAGATGTTTTTCGCAGGTTAAGATACAAAGTTGTTTATTTAACTGTATAAAAGCAGGGACCATTTGCAGGGAAATTTGGAAGCCTCCTCTATACAGTGGACACACTGTATAGAGATTTCCCAATTGCCGGGATGAATTGTCCAAATCCTTCGCTGTAAATGGGCTCCCCAGCGTCTGTAGATCTGGATGATGGTAATATAGGGCAATTGGTGATGTATCTTAATCATTATCACTAACTCTATGTAGTAATGATTAGGTGCATTACTGTATTTTGTGTTTGCTATAGTAGTTTGCTTGTTGTCTTGCTGCTTTACCTTATCTTGCTTTATTTTCTCTGTGTTATTTTCCTCATTATTTTGTCACTTTGGACATAAGTAAAAATAAGTTTACTTTTTTTTTGGTGCCTGTGTCCTCTGTGCTAACCCCATCAATTGTCAAATCAGAGGTTCATCTGGAGGTCAACTTTGATTCAGGGCCTCGCTGCTCAGGCCCTAGTATTTCAACAGTGGCCAGTAGGGCTTGCGTAGGAAGGTATATGTGAAACAAGGACAGAATGATTTTTCCTGTTGTACACCCTTCCAGCTTCTGAGAACCAGCTAGGGGCCTCCTAAGTCAGAAGTTGGATGCCATTCAGTGCATTTAAGTTACCTGTCCTACACGAGTTTGTCAAATGGCCTTTGCCTCCCCAACTTCTTTGACAACGCTATTATAGAGTAGGGTAGAAACTTTCTTTGGTTATTTTAAACATGGTGTGCGATAAATTTGTTGAGATTTTTTTTTTCTCTTATAAGAAACTTTCTTAATCAGTTTTCGTATCATTCATGATTTCTGTAGAATGCTACTATATTCCCCTCAGTTGTTCCTTTTCCAAGTTCTCCAGTCTGTTTATCCGGTGCTGTTTGAAAGCTGTGCGGTATTTCGCACTGTGTGACCAAGCTAAACTGCTGCACATTCAAATCTTAGGGTGATGCACCACATCTATCATTAAACTTCTCTTAAAACTTATCCATGTGATAAGATGAATCTAGACTGTAGGAGGGCAGGCTATTTTTGTTGTTGTTCTTTTACATTAACTGAGCTAGATTACATTACTTTTTTTGTCATGTTTCTATAGATTCAAAATAGAGAAAGATGATGAAGAGAAGAAGGGAGACCAAAGTTCCAGTACTTCTCATGGCGCTGATGGAAGATTGCAAGAAAAATCTCCAAATAGAAGTAAAGCAACAGACAGTTCTTTAATCCAAACTGAAAAGCAAAAGAAAATAGTTATCCAATTTAAAGCCAAAGAAATTAGACATGGAAAAAGTGTATGCGCTCCTGATGTAGTGACTACTACCGGGGAAAGTCACAACAAAAGTCGTTTTGATGGAACAGAAGGGAAAAGACTCTGGCATAGCTTTGCACTTCAGAGGGACAAGGCACTGAAGAAAAAGAGAGAAAAAGCTGAGCTCAGCAAACTAAAGTTAAAAGCAGAACAAACTATGTTGGAAAAATTTAAGTCATCTGCGTACGATTCACATGTACCACATAAAAAGGGAGATGGATCAAAAAACCAGAGCGAAGATGTCAGAATTCCAAAAAAGCCATCTGACGCCTCTACAAGGACTGTGCATGATGATAAGCCTTTCTCTAAGAAGCCAAATACAGTATCTAGGACTTGGGAAGAAGAGTCTGAAGAAGAATATGAGGAGTTTTCTAAGAGAAGACGCTATGTGCATAAACATACACCGTCACGCTGTTCAACTGAAACAGAACAACGATGGGACTCTTGTAAACAGAAAAAACAGGGTGCTGATTCTGATAAAGTTACTGGTAATTCAGGGCCTGAAGAAAGGGACTTTGAAGCCACAGCATTATGTTTTAAACAGGTAATGAGAACCCAATTCTTTGTATTATGCAGGTAGATGTTTCAGGCTAGTTTCTGGATGGCAGGCAGTTTTTATCTGAGCAGACTGTCTTACAGATTTCAAACAGGATTTTGTAGTTGACTGGGTGGGTTTTTCTGATTCCAATGTAAACCACATTAAAACATTTCTCTACTCTGTTAAGTGAACTAGAAGAATAAAGGTCTTGCATATTAGGACTGGCTCTGCACATACGCTTTCATGGCTTTACTTTGCTGCTGGGGGGGTGGAATACTTCACTGTAGGTATAAGTCAACTGATTTTTTTTTTTTTTTTTTTTAG